AACCAAAGGGCATACGGTTAAATTCGTAATGTCCATTTTCTACATTGAAAGCTGTTTTGCTTATTGAGTTTGGATGCATTTCAACTTGGTGGAATCCAGAAGCTAAGTCTAGAGTACTAAAATAATTACTTCTTCCAAGTCTGTCAAGAATGTCTGTTATATTTGGTGATGGGTATCGATCGTCTATCGTTTTTTCATTGATTTTTCTATAATCTACGACCATTCGCCATTTCTTTATGCCTGAAGCATCTAACTTTTTAGGTACAATCCAGACAGGGGATGACCAGGGACTACATGATGGTCGAATAATGTTATCTTCTAACATTTTCTGGATTTGTTTATTCACTTCTTGTTTATGAATATGTGGGTATTTATACGTCTTTGTGTGAACTGGGATTTCGTCTTTGGTCTTAATTTCGTGTTTAACTTGATTTGTGAATGATAGCATATCATTTGGTTTGTGAAAGACTTTAGGAAACGAATTTACAAGTTTTTGTAAAGCTTTTACTTCTTCTGAGTTTAAATGATCAGTTCTTAAAAGGTTTAGGGACGTTTTCTTATAAGGTTTGTCTTTATATCATTAGTGTTTTGGGTAATGGGCCACTTTCACGTGCCGGGAATATGGCAAATTATAATATTTTTTGACGCAGATACATCAATGCAACCAAGAATGAACAATATTTTGCAAGATTTTAGTCAGATTATTAAATAAATTAAAAAATAAAAACTAAAAATTTAAACGAAAAATCACGTGATTGAAAACGCTCTGTTGGCTAAGGCCGATTTTGACATTTTTGTTGCCACATGTAGAAATGCGAAATTTAAATGAGTTAATAAGGATTATACCTATCCTTTATTTTTTTATAATGTAGTAAAGGACGAAAATAGTTTCTAGCTAGTGAAATATGTAATGATTTACTTATGAGAAATTTGGCATCCTTGATTTTCTGGTGTGTGACGTCACACACCAAGTTTATTTTTTCACGCCAGTTTAAAAATTCGATTTTTAAATAATTTTTTTTTTCAAAAATAAGCGTTTTTTTTCGGAAAAAAAGTATACAGATAGTATTAGAATGACTAAAAGTATAATTTAAAAACGTTTTTGAAAAATGTGAAAGTGGCCCATTATCTGTTCTGCGTTAAACAATTGATAATTCTCTTCTTCAAAAGGTTCACATATTTCTTGAATATCATCAATATGACAATCTAATGTGAGGATTTTGTCTTTTAAATTATAAACATCAAGTGGTATTTTACCATTTTTAATTGTATTAATGGTTGATGGAATATAATAATTTTCATCTTCTACAATGTCAGTTATTATTTTAGTTCCGTCTGGAATTCTTGTGAGAAATTCACATTTTTGAACTGTGTTAGGCGAAATTTCAATAGTTTGATTTTCAAAGTCACTTCTAAATTGAAATGGTATACATGTTTGATCATTTACAAGACACATATTTTCAAAATCGATATTAAGTTTGTTATCATATAGAGCTTTGATTCCTATAATTCCATCGAAATAATCATGAAATAAATACATGAGCATTTCTACTTCATTTATGTCATATTCTTGTAAAATTGGAATTTTAAGTTTTCCTTTAATTATTGTGGTTGTTCCTGTACATGTGGAAAGTTTAGATTTTGTATTAGTAATGTACTGATTAAAGTATTTTTCAGCTATGGAAGGTCTTATTAGTGAGGCATGACTTCCGGTATCAATTAATAATTTACAAGGTGGAAATTGAATTTCTATAAAAGGTAAATGATTAATTTGGAATTCATTTAAAGTTAATGCTGATCCGAGGCTTTTAAACAAAAATTTTCGGATTCATCAATTTCTTGTTCATCAGGATTTTCAATATCTTGACATTCAAATTCACTTTCATTTTCTTGATTTTCATCAGAGGAAAGGTAAATTTCTTCTTCAAAATTTTCATTTTCTGAAAAAGCTTGTTCAACTGGAATTAATTGTAAAATATTATTTTTTTCTTTAATTGTGTATTGAAAGGTCTTTTTTGGAAATTTTGTTTAAATGCGTGAGTGCGAGGTTGCACTGAAATTCCGGACATAGGTGTCGGGTTTGGAAATTGTTGGTTTGTATTTTTCCTTAATACATTGGATTGTTTATTATGGTTTTTTCCAAAAGTTTGTGAACTAGTTGGGAATTTCTGTTAATAATTCGCTCTTGGCTGAATGTTTATAGGTTGTGAGGGAAATTGTGATTGTTGAAATTGTTTCTGTGGAAACTGTGTTTGCACAAATTGTCTTTGAGGGAATTGTGTTTTCTGTTTTGAATTAGTGTATGAAGTGTGTGTATTATTATTTTTATTAATTGAATTATTAAATTTCATATGGTTTTCAGCTAATTGATAATTTAATACGCAACCTGTAGCTGCATCTAAAGTTAGTGGATTTTGCACCATTAAAATTGTTCTTAATTCAACAGGAGATTTTGTGACTAAATTTTGGATTGCCATTATTTCATTTTGGTCTACCAAAACATTTGCTACTTCAACCAAATTTTGATCACTCATTATCTTAGAAGTTATACTATGATTTAAACTTTTTAATCTCTCTAAATAATCAAAAATATTCTCTTTAATATTTCGAGTAGTATACATTAATTCTTGTACTAAGTTTTGTCTAGAATATGGGTCTCCATATTTTAATCTTAAAGCGTTCTTTATAGCAATCCATGATTTTAAGTCGGGACGTGACATAAGGAAATTTCCTGCTTCATTGATTAATTTTGATTTAATCGCTGTTATAACATATTCTTTCTGTGCATTTTCGCCAGTATAATATGTAGTATAAAATTCTTCGATATTACTGATAAAATATTCTAAGTATTGTTTTTCGCCACCAAAAGGCTTAAGTAATTGTACAATAGATTTCAAATTCTCACCCATGGTTCTTGGTTGATGATTATTATTTTTTAACGAATTATTAGTACTTGAATTATATAAATGAGTTAAGTTAAATTGGGTTAAGAGGTCCTGTATTTCCTCTTCAGAATCTGACATGTATTTTTTGAATTATATGCTTATTTATAGATAGAAAAATAAAAAATACTTTCTCCAAAAATTTATTATTTTTTCAGAAAATTAAAAAATTGGAAAAAATTATTTGTAATAGAAATTTAAGAATAGTTTTCTCAAAAAAATCTATTATTATTATTATAATTTTTTTTTGAAAATTAAAAATCAAAAATTTCAAAAATTCAAAAATTCAAAAATTCAAAATTGAGTGTACCTAACACCCAATTCATAATTTATGGAAATAAATCGTAATTGATATATTTTTTCCTAAATTAAAAATTTAAAATGAACTAAGTATTCAGTTATCAATTATATTTTTAAAATGAATTATTTATTTATCAATTATATTTTTCTTTTAAATTACGTATTAATTTAGTCGTTAATTATATTTCTAAAATTAAATTCTACTTTAAAAATTATTTATTTAATATAAAAGTTTACTTTCTTAAAATTAAAGAATTCGAAAAAATTCAAAATTAGAATTTTTATGTTTCGCTTAAAATTAAAAATCAAAAAAAAAATCAGAAATTTAATTTTTTCTTTGAAAATTCAAAATTGAAGTTTAGAGGCTTATTAGGTTATTCAGTTATTTGAAAGTTAAAGTTGGAAGAATAAAAAAATTGGAAATTTTATTTTTTTTCAAAAAATCAAAAAATTAAAGGTTTCAATTTATTATTCAGTTTCTTGAAAATGAAAATAAAAAAATTGGAAATTTTATTTTTTTCCTTGAAAAATTTTCTAAGTCTAAAATCAATCAGTTTCTTGAAAATTGAAAATAAAATATGAAAAAATTGGAATTTTTTTCTCTAAAACTTTTAGAAATTAAAGTTTTTAACTAATTATTCAGTTTCCTGAAGATTAAAAATTAAAAATGGGAAATTTATTTTTTTCGTAAAAAATCAAAAAATAAAGTCTTATTCAGTTTCGTAGGTTACTTTCTTAAAATTATTTTATTTGTATTTGGTCTCAATGCCAAAACAAATTGAAATTGAAAAATTTTTTATGATAAAAAAACTCAAAAAAAAGAAATTTCTCAAAAGAACTTAATTATGAAACACCAATTACAAAATACAATTTATGGGAAAAAGGGATTACTTACAAGGCACGATGCTTGAAACTGTATCACTTTAACTTTGTACCTACGTTGGATCTTGTTTCATTTCTTCAGTAAATTTTTTCAAAAAGTGGAACGAATTGGATTAAATTTTTTCGAAAATTCAATCTCTGGACTCTATAGCACTCTGAAGAACATCCGCACCGACTTGCGCCAATTATATTTTCGATTCAGAAACTTGTATTTTTAAAAACATTTATTTTATTAATTAAAATACAATAGTGACAATCGGAAAATATGTGGATCAAATTGCTACAGGGAGCGCCTGAAAACAAATGAATGCTCCTTACTGGAAAGCTCTGGCTTAAATAATAAATATTTGCTGATCCAAGCATTTTCCTATGCAGGTGGTGGTACTACCAGTGCAGTACCGCTGATTAAGCAGTTTTATATATTTATTAGTATTGACATAGGCGTCCGCTTATAATTAACATTGGAAAGGAGAATTATTAGTATAAGGATAACATAGGGTCTTACAATATAACTACTGTCTTCTTGAAAAACTTGCTTTGCTTTATTTCAAAAAAATAAAAGCTTCTTGTAATAAACAACAATCATAACATCTTGCTAAGTACTAAATGCAACTAAAAACATAAATCACAACATAGGTAGTAAGTTTGATTAAAAACCACTAAGGAACTAAATCACCAATCAGCAACTGTAAAAACAAACTGAAAACTTTTCTCAATCAAGAGGGATAGAATTATTTATATTAACTGATACTACTAATAATGAGGATGCACCATCAATGTTCAATGGCACAATTTCATTTTGCGATGCTTTTAAGAAAAGACTTGACAGGATTATAACAAAATCGTGAAGCAAAGGAGCAAAAAAATTATGAATAATTAATAATCAGGTCGTTTAAGCTTATTCAACCTTTCCTTTTCTACTAAAACTTGCAGATCCAGCAGTTCCATCTCTTTCTTATGTTTATCCTTCGAATGATCTAATTCTTGAGCTAGCCGTTTTTTAGTGAAGTCAGCAATCTCCAGACGCATATCCATCAACTGATTGTACTTCTCAGATACCTCAGAAGAGGTTAGTGCTTTCACCTGTACGGTGGGTCTTCGATGATTGGAAGCAGGAGTACTTCGATTGAGCCGATTTTTGTTGGGAGTTACTTGTTCATGTGTTTCTTTGCCAGTACTTCCTTCCTGTTCCTTTTGTCTACTGGGAATATCTGAAAAAGGTTCACATTTTATTTATTGGTATACCTACTCCCAGATAACACAATGTGCGTCAATGTGCTCGAAAAGTTCCGGCCGACTTTAGAGAAAATAGTATTTCAATGGTAATGCTTTGGAAATATGTTAAAAGTGCGTATAATAAAACAAACCAAATCAAAGTAAGCTAGCAACATCGAAGAAATGCTCCTATTTCAACTTTTAAATTGAATGATCTGTAATGTGCTGGAAAACCACTGCAAAACCGCATAATTTTAGTGTGCGAATTAGCGGTACGCTAACAGCACTCCCTGAACACTTACCAAGGTACCGAAAGAGTAGAGTCTGCTCTGAGTGCTCTACCTGCGCTGCCTGAGAGCCTGCAGTCGGCAGTGATTAATTATAGATTTAGAGATACTCCGATCGTGCAGGTGGTGCACCACAGAGCTGCAACCCCCACCACGCATAGCAAATGTGGGAAGGAAAGGGATAAAAAAGCGACAAGAAGGCAAGCAGAAGCAAGGAAGCCTGAGCCGAAGCTGCCGGCTGCCGCCATTGCGCCATTTTTAATGTTTGCATTTTTGGGCATTTAGTTTCGTACGTGTTTGGGTTCTGTGCGTGTTTTCGGTTTCACTGGAAGAATAATGAGTTCCAAAGAGTAAGTGAGTGATAATTATCAAATATTAGTTATGGGTTAATCCAAACTATTTCGTTCTGCACTGTATGTGGTGCTTGTAGGTGGTAATGCATGCGTGGTGGGTGTGCTTGTGTTTTCACTGTTTATTTAACGAAATTCTGCAAAATCGTTTCAATTTTTTAAGGGCCTATTCGACAAGATATTATTGCAAAAGTTCATCAATAAGCCGTTAATTGCGCATCTTATTTTCTCATTTGAGCCACGTAGGTACTCCCTGTACTTTAATAGTTTCCAAAAACCCCATTAAACTCATTTCATTTGGTACCCTCTGTGTCTCATCTGTATAAGAGATTTTAATTTAAGTATGATTTCTTTTTCAGGTAGGTACCAGGAAAAGCGAAGAAGAATTATTTAGAAGAAATGAATATGTTTTATTTTATTTTTTATTTATGTTTCCTATGTTTATTTATTGAAAGATCATAATTCCAAAATGTTTGTTTTTTATTTGCAATGGGCTTTCAAAAAATGTACTCAAAAAATACTTCAATGAAGTACTTTAAGAGTACAATATAAAGGACCCCGCAATATTTTAATGGAAATTGGTTACCCGTGATATTTGGATGAAATTTAAATATGTTATTGGGGATACCATAAATAACATTTTTTACCATGGGCACAACCCTGTATATATGACAGGTGAGGCGTGGTTAGCTCTCAGAAATTCGAATCTTACATCCAAAAGTAGAGTAACTATGGCAGATTTTGATAGACAAAAAATCTATTTCTACTAAGTCGACTAAGTTAAGTCGAAAAATGCCATCCATTTTGACACCTGTCAAAACCCGGCCAAACGGCAGCACTCATTTTTCCCAGTTTTCAATATTTCATGATGTCATTTAACATTTTTAACTTGTATGTAAATTCTGAAATCAAAAATTGAAAAAAAAAATGACAGAACTGTCAAAACCTGTCATTTGTATTATCAGAAAAAAATACTCCAATCTGGTTCTTTTTTGTTTCAAGATAGTTTATTGGATGATAAAACAATAAACAAAGTACATGCATGTCACATTTTGACAACTGTCAGAATCTGTTATATAGCTTTTTGTGACATGCATGAACTTTTTTTAATGTTTTATCACCAATAAACTACCCTGAAACAAAAAAGAAGGAGATTAGAGTATTATTTTCTACTAAAACAAATGACAGGTTTTGACAGTTCTGTCATTTTTTTTTTCAATTTTTGAATTAAAAATTCACATATAAGTTGAAAATGTCAAATGACATGATAAAATATTGAAAACGGCAAAAGATAAGTGCTGCCGTTTGGCAGGGTTTTGACAGGTGTCAAAATGGTTGACATTTTTCGACTTAACTTGGTCGACTTAGTAGACATCAATACTTCGTTCATTAAAATCTGCCATAGTCACTCTGCTTTTGGATATAGGATTCCAATATTTGACAGCTAACCACGCCTCACCTGTCATATATACAGGGTTGTGCCCATGGTAAAAAATGTTGCTTACGGCATCCCCAATAACATATTTAAATTTTATCCAAATATCACGGGTAACCAATTTCCATTTAAATATTGCGGGGTCCTTTACCAAAAAAAGATGTTCTAGTGGTGCTTTTTCTCTGTCGGAGAAGTGCTTTTATGTAGCATTTCACGAATACTTCCAACGTACGCTTGGAGCACTTAGAGCACTCCATGTTGGAAGTGCGCAATTGCAGTGCTCTACGATTGCGCCTTTTTTTTACTGGCCGGCTGGATATCCCAGAAGCGGCTGAGTGGTTTTCACAAGTACTTCTCAAGCATGCAAATGTGAAAATACAGTACAATTGAAGTAATTTTCATGTAGTTTTGTGTTATCGTAGATGTAGCTCTGTGATATATCTATGGTGAGTGGGCTAAAGGGTACAAGTCAAAATTAGACAAATCAAGAAAAATGCTTTCGAAATATTAGACTTTAAAATAATCGGATTTTTTGTGGCTGTTTCGGACGAATCGAATTTTTAACTTTACAAAGGTGTTTTTTTTATTAGAGATAATCTATTTTTTTATTTTTTTTTGTTCTGTTTTTCTTTTTTATTGCAAAAAAAAATGGACTTATACTCTTTTGACCAGACCTATAGATGACATATATTATTATGAAATAAGATAATATGACTTATAATATTTTGACCTGACCTAAGAAATGACTTATACTAGTTTTGCTCAACCCAAAACTTGATATTTGCAAAAACTGGAAAAGAAGGCCAACTCTTTTTCACAAAACACTTTTTTTTTGCTGATAACATAACCTCTTTGGTCACCAAATGGTACTAAGAGTATAAGTCGACCGACAAAATCAGGATAGGAATAGTATAAGTCTACTTGTAATATTTGAATTTTATTAATAGTGTATAATCTAAATAGTACAATTCAACTTATACTGATATGCCCAACAGAATAAAATTCCTTTTAAGTTAAACTATGTGGATTGAAATTAAAAGTAAAGTATTTCAAATAAATTGACTTATACTGTTTGGACCAGTCGATGTAGGAACCGAAAATATATACCAAAATGACTTAAACTCATTTTTGCAAAATTTTGACTTGTACTCGTTAGCTCACCCACCATAGATATATTTTCAAAGGGTATCTTACCACAATAGTTCATCGACAATCCATTATTTTCCTTTTGACCTTCTGTCCTGAGAGCAGAGGATAATGGTTTTTTCAAATCGGTAGCTGTATATTTTTTCCATGTGCTGGGCATTACCTAAAAAAATATACATACTTGCATAAAATACTAAAATAGCAGTAATGACAAAGAATCTAAAAAAACAGATGCGGAAAAGCCAAGGATTCGTGTAAAAAATGTATTTTTTTCAAGATTAGATTGACTGTGCTTTCCTGGGATAAGAGCACAATCTCGAGCACAATGCTATATTGAGATATCTTAACAGAACCCCTAAAAAAACCAAGAAAACGAAACTTCAAGGCATATTGGATACAACTTCCCAAGAGGTCTTCTTCTATAACATCCTCATCCATGCTTTCTCTATCTTGGGCATACTCATAAACAATTTCAATGTCATTACGGGGCTGTTCAGATGGCTCTGCCTCATCACCACTCGAAACATCGCCACCATAGGGTGTTTCTAACCCAAAAACTGTTTTTTTATTAATTATCGATAAAAGAACATCATCAAATGCTTCATCCGGTCTAGAGGGTGGTAAGCCTCCACCAGTTTTTTTCTGATCCAGTTTGGCATCAGCAGCCTTCTTTCTCAATTCTTTATTTTTTTATTTTCATACAGTCTTTTGATACTTTCTTTGGATCTATACACACCTGCCGTGGACGAAGCATTAAACTCAGCTGTGATTCTATCCCAGGCAGCATTCTTCTCAGTATTTGTATTTTTATTTGTTTCTTTGTTTTCAATAATGCTTTTGTATTTGGATATTATATCAATGAGATGTGATTTTCCATTTTGTAAAAAATTTGAAGTTCGCACCCGTTTCGCACTTGTGGAGGTTGAATCCATTTTTACTTATGAGCACTTTTTTTCGTTAAACTGCAGCAAAAACCGCAAAAAAATCACAAAAACAGAAAAAAAAAAACCGGCGACCGGCAAAAAAATTATGTACGAAAATAATTCCTCTAACCTCAAAATAAATCTGACTGAAGTTAGGTGTTAGTACCAACCGATTTTAATTTGACAAAAATTCCCCAAATTGATAAGTTTATTTTAACCAAGTACCCTTAAATTACCGTACAAGTGATTGCAATTCAATCAATTGTTTAAATTTTAACAATGTGTTATATTAAACAGTGAGTTAGCGAATACGGTGCAAGTGGGCATTAGTTTGGGCTAGTTTACATATTTTTGTTTATTTTGGTCACGGTTCGTTTAATACTGGCTAAAAGCGTACTGCTTGACAATAGGAGGCGCTTGGTTTTTTAAATTTATTATTAACATACAAGGACTAGCACGCATTACGTGGACGGTTTAGTTTGGGTTAGTTTGCATATTTTTGGTTAGTTTCATTACAGTTCATTGATTACTGATAAGAAGTGTACTGGTTACCAATAATATTTTCACCTGCGCCCTTTTGTCTGCTCGTTTTTGAGCTGCGCTCTTTTGTACCAACGCCGAATTTACGGTTCCGCGGATCTTCTTTTTGAGATTCGGTGAGCGAAGCAAGCAATCGGAGATTCAAAAATAATTGAAATTTCGAGCTGTTGTATTTAAAAAAGGTTTTTCACGTGTTTGGTAGATTCAGGGATCCCAGATCTCACGATTTATCGTGAGATCTCACGATTCAGCAACAAGTCTCACGATCTCACGATAATGGATTCTAATCTCAGGATATTTTATAAACGCGGCTTGCCGCTTGCAGTATTTAAAATATTTTTCATAAAAACTTAACATTTATTTTCTAAGCAATTTTTTACTCAAGCAAACAATTATTCGGATATTCCCGCAGCGTGGAGTCCGAGTCCGATACTGGAATGGAATGTACCATGGCGCCCCTAGCGGCTTTCGGAATAACTAGATCTCTACGCTCCTTTTGCGCCGCGGCGCCGAGTAGTTTTCTGTGATCTGCCGTTTGCTCCTCATGCATAATTATAGGCTACAAAATAGGCGCCTGATTCTCGAATTTCGAAACAAGGGAGCAGCGTTCTCACGAAAGCAATATTTGTGTCTTTGTCATTCCTATGAAATTTTGCATGGAGTTGAGGACAGGGCATTTTGTTCTCTGTTCGCCCGTTTCAAGAATCAGGCGCATGGAATCCATGGCGCAGAAACAGCTGCGTGATTTTACAATCTCAGCGGTGGTTCCCCGGTTTGCTGATTGCATTTCAACTTGCGAAAAACTATTGCGGATGGTAAATCGCAACATATTTTGTGCGTCGCCTATTTTGCTGAGAAAATGTCTTCTAGTGATAATAGTTCCGATGACTCAAATCGTGCTTCTGGTTCGACTCCACAAAATTTAAATTGAATATTTTGTGCTCCAGATAGTCCTGGAGAAACCAAAAAACCTAAAACCCTAGTCAAAACAATAATTTCGCTAAAATGCGCATGCGTTTTACGATCTCACGATTTCTCACGATTTTTTCACGACCGATATGACGATAATAGGACCAGAACATCTGGGATCCCTGGGTAGATTTACGCTTCCGAGGTGTATAAGTACATTTATTAACAATTTTCCATTCGAACCATTTTCTATTCGAACATTTTTTCTTTCGGACAATTTTCCATTCGAACAATTTTCCTTTCGAACAATTTTCCGTTCGAACAATTTTCCGTTCGAATAATTTTCCTTCGAACAATTTTCTTTTCGATCAATTTTCCCTTCGAACAATTTTCCTTTCGAACAATTTTCCTTTCGAAAAATGTTCTTTACGAATAATTTTCCGTTCGAACAATTTTCCTTTCGAAGAATTTTCCGTTCGAACAATTATTTTCGAACAATTTTCCGGGACTCACATTTTATACATACAGTGCAAACGTAAAGTAAAGGCGCGTTTTCACGGGTCGATCTGAGTCGAACGATTTGTGTCGATCATTAAATCGAAAGCAAATTGAACATGTAAACCACCTTTCGGCTTGGCCGTTCGACGGAGAGAGTCGATTCGACCGAAGTAGAAAGGTTGTCTACTTTTACAGGCGATCGTCACCGAATCGAAGTCGAACGACTGGAATCGAATGTGTAAACACCTCACCGAAAGAAAACGAAACATATTTGTATCGTTCCTTTGAATTCTTCCTACAGTTTTTTGTAAAAGTTTTTCAAAGTGAGCATTATTTATTCTGAGATGATTTCTATATGACTGTGGATCTTCTACTACCAATTCTCGAAGGAGATTTGTGATGCACCTTGGGTATTTCGTTTTAAAATCCATGGCCGGGTCCAACATCTTCGTTTATTTCTCTTTTTTTTTCGATTTAGTCAATTATTTCACCCCGAATCGCACAACAAATTAATTGCACACCTACATCAAATAATTTCAATAATTTCACTTGTCGCCATTTTGCAATTATTCAACATACATCGCACACCGCCCATCGCCTATGGTGTAAACCTTTTTGCTTTCAACACAGATCGAACGATGGTCGAACGACCCGGGCCGTTCAACTTAGATCGACCCGTGAAAACGCGCCTTAAGGAATAAATTCAATAATTATTCTTCTTAAGCAATTTTTTTAAAAATCCTCGATCACGCCAATTTTATTTTTTGTCGAGCATTTTTTAGAAAATAAAATTATTATACAGGGTGGTCGCAGAAAAGCTGGACAGGTAGTAACTTAATTTTTTTTAATAGACACCCCAAATTTTTTTTACATTTTCGGATTTCTGATAAAATTCTAAGTATTTTTCATGAAACATGTCCTATACCTAAATTCAACTGTTTCGGAAATATTGACAGTTGACAATTGACTTTTTTGCAACTTTGAGTGGCTGTAAAACCTTAACGGTTAATTTTAGAGGAAAACCGATTTTACATTCCTATCTTAGATTTTCATAAACTATCATTTGACACCAATTTTGAATTCAATCCGACATTAAATTTAATTGGAATTTTTAATCATGGGTTAAATTCAAGGTTGGTATCAAATGATAGCTTATGAAAATCTAAGACAGAAATGTAAAATCGGTTTTCCTCTAAAATTAACCGTTTAGGTTTACAGCCTCTCAAAGTTGCAAAAAAGTTAATTGTCAACTGTCAATAGTTCCGAAACAGTTGAATTTAGGTATAGGACATGTTTTATGAAAAATACTTAGAATTTTATCAGAAATCCGAAAATATAAAAAAAATAAGGGGTGTCTATTTAAAAAAATTTAGTGACTACCTGTCCAGCTTTTCTGCGACCACCCTGTATAATAATTTTATTTTACAAAGAATGCTCGACAAAAAATAAAATTGACGTGTTCGAGGATTTAAAAAAAAATTGCTTAGAAGAATAATTATTGAATTTGTTCCTTACTTGTAGCATCGTCACCATAAGTGACTGGGACAGCATTATATTAGCTCTTGTACTATTATATGAATATTATTGTCAAATATTTGTCAAACTATGAATCAAATGCATTGAAATGAATGACAGTAGAATTAGTCCAGGAAATTATTATGCATTATTTTTGTCCCAGATACTTTTGGTGACGATGGTACATAAAAATGACCTTCACATTTGCGAAAATTTACACCGGTGGCGCATGTACGGGGACAGGACCCCCGTGCCTTGCCCCCCCCCCTGTCCCGCTGGTTAGCGGCGCCCATGAAACCAATTATAGAAAACTAAAGATTTTGCCCAGAATTTTCCCTTAGTGAAGCTTAATTATGATCGGACGTTAAAACTGAATAAAGAAAAATTAAATAAGTAAATTTTAAGTAGGTACATTACCTGGCACTCCTGGCAGTTATTCTGAGTCTAGCTTCAAAGGTTTATGTGATATTCTAGAACTCTGCCAAAATCAGATCGACTGTTTCAGGCCACGTTCAGAGAGCAAAAGAACGACAACCAGTTAAAAATTCTACATTTGGCTTGAAACCAGCTTTTTTTTATCTATCTTTTACAATTGACCTTTTGTTTAGACGCCATATTGCGGTGCGCGAACATAGTTGCCAAAAGTAGAAAAAAAATTGCTAGCGTACTGTCAACATTAAAAACAAAAGTTACTGAATAAATTACATTTAAAATTTAAATTAGCCGCCTATTACGAATGTTTTTGAAAAGAAAAGCCATCAATTTTATCTTGTATTGAACAGAATAGAAATAATAAGGATAGTGAGGATCAATCATTTATAGCGTTTTCCATTTGTCGAACCAGTGCAAAAAAAATGTATCCTTATCCTTACATGTTACATGCTTTTAGAAAAAGATGCGGATACACTCAGTGCGCATAGATTGACAAATAGAAATCGCCAAAAAATTTATCCTTATCCTTACATGTTACATGCTTTTAGAAAAAGATGCGGATACACTCAGTGCGCACTGATTGACAAATGGAAATCGCCATTAGTTACTTTTGTTTTTAATGTTGACAGCCCGCTAGTAATTTTTGTTTTCTTCTTTTGGCAACTATGTTCGCGCACCGCAATATGGCGTCCAAACAAAAGGTCAATTGAAAAACCCGAATTCCTGAAGTCTATTGACAAAAACAAAATTCCTGAGATCTATTCAATCCCCGACATACGTTGCATTTTTATTTTGTTGTCTGAGCTTCAACGAGAACTCAAAACTCGTAAATTTATGTGAATAGAGCAACTGTTTCCATCTGACGTCTCAAATGAAAACTGCGGATATAAACCTAACCAAGGAATCTGTAAAATTATTCATAACTTTTTGGATTAAAGTGAAAGCAAAATGTCATTATGAACAGCTGATGAATGTTATTGTCATTTGAGGAAAATAAATATTATAATTAACTTTAAAGAAATTGAATAGGAAAAATATACCAAAGGGGAAAACAGGGTACATTATATTTGAATTTTAGAAGAAAAAACTCTTGATAGTCTCCAACCAACTCGTGA